GCTAACGAGAGACAATCCCAGCCGCATTATGTGGCTAAGCAGGCCTATCAACGTCCGACACATAACAATGCCGTGATTTCTGAGGAAACCGACGACCACCACGCTGCAGCAGCATCCTCGGGTGATGGAGGAATTGTCGCAGTGCTCCCGCCGAAGCGTCCCAAGAAAGTTCGTAAGAACAAGGCGACACAAGAGACGGCAGCGACGGGAGCTGGGCAGCAGCCATGGACGGCATATAAGATCACCAAGGAGGTCTATGACCTACGTCAAAAGTACGGATACTGCCTCTGGTGCAACGGCGTCACTCATGTGACCGCACAATGTCCCGAAAAGGGCAAGGCACGCATACCTCGTCCAACAAACTCGGGAAACTGAGTTACGCAAGGAGAGGGGTGACGTCTCTCCTCACTCCGCCGGACCCGGTTGCCTTGCTAGCAATCTATGTCACTACCGGGGAGCATGTGTTAGTCGCTGATTCTCGTGCCACGTACGAGCATTATGCCGCCCAGCTGGTACCACCATTAGACCAGCCAAGCCACGTGCACTTAGCTAGCGTATGCGCAGCCTGTACACCGTCGGCAAGTGATCCGGTCAGTTCGCCACTAATTTCCGAGGACTCGACGGCGTGGTCAAGACTTGAGGAGCTTGACCCGCTCACGAGAGAGGACTTCGCTTGGATGCCTCTACCCTCGACCGGAACCTTGCCAAGGCCGCATTGCAATGCCTTGATGGCAACTCTACACTCCTATTTGCACACTAAAGTACCAGCTCCGTTGACGAACGACGGGGTAGTGGTTGCCGATCTCCGCGCCTATCTTGCGAAGATTGACCGCGAGCACGCCACCCAAAGGTACACCGAAACCGACGCACCTTTGCTCTATATCCGCATTCAAATCGGAAAGGTAACCTGTAGTGCCTTGATTGATTGCGGAGCGTCTCGCAACTTCATGAGTCAAGCCTTTATGGCCCGCGCAGGTCTTGGCCCGCGCGTTCGAAGAAAGTCGCAACCTACGCAAGTTACACTCGCGGACGGCCGCACGCAAAAGTCAATTGACCGATGCGTTGACGGCATTCTAGTCTACTTTGCGCCACTTGCGTGCGAGCCGGTGTCTTTTGACATCCTCGACACCAAGTTCGACATGATTCTAGGCATGTYTTGGTTGCGTAGCGCCGATCATCCGGTGAACTTCCATGACCGAATCGTTCACATCCGTGATCGGAACGAAGTGTTAGTCCCATGTACGATCGCGACCCCTCACACTTTGATTGCTTGTCACGTGGTTTCCGTTGCGCGGATTTGCGACGCCATTGCTCGGAATGACATTGAGGAGATAGGCCTGGTATTCTTGCATGCCCTCCCCTCGCCGGACGGACCAGCCGCGTCACCGCCGGACCCACGCATTTCTCACCTCTTGGACGAGTATAGAGACGTCTTCGAGGCTCCCACCGGAACGGTTCCGGATCGGCCCATACGTCACGGGATCACTCTCGAGGCTGGCGCCGTCCCTCCGCGTGGATGTATCTACCGCATGAGCGAAGAGGAACTCGAGGTGCTTCGCGCACAACTCGATGATCTTCTCGACAAGAGCTGGATTCGCCCTAGTTGCTCGCCATACGGTGCACCTGTTCTCTTCGTCCGGAAGAAGAACAAAGACCTACGGTTATGCATCGACTATCGGAAACTTAACGCACAAACCGTAAAGAATGCCGGTCCTCTCCCTCGGATTGATGATCTCCTTGAGCTGTTAGGCGGCGCGACGTACTTCTCGAAGTTGGACTTGAAGTCAGGTTACCACCAGATTGAAATCCAGCCTCAAGACCGGTACAAAACTGCGTTCAAGACGCGGTACGGGCATTTTGAGTGGGTTGTCATGCCCTTTGGCCTCACCAATGCCCCCGCAACTTTTCAAGCAGCAATGACGACTGAGTTTCGCGACTTGCTCGATCGCAGCGTCCTTATCTACCTTGATGACATCTTGGTTTATAGTAGGACGTTGGACGAGCACATCGTACACCTTTGCGTTGTTTTGAATCGTTTGCGACTAGCCAAGTACAAAGCGAATCTCGACAAGTGCGAATTCGCCAAGCAAGAGCTTGAGTACTTGGGTCATTTTGTCACACCGAAAGGCATTCGTCCCTTAGCGGACAAGATCCAAGCCATCGTGGATTGGC